TTAAAACATGTTTTATAACGGGGTTGAAGGATGTCTTTGCAGTGGGAGATACAGGAATTACAGTTATGTTTACCATCACCTGCAGTACAGGCAGGCATGTTACAATACCTCCTATATAATCCAATAAAAATATGGTATGCCTGGCCTGTGATATTTACAACTGTCATAAAATTTTTGGTTATGCTGTGTGCAGTATCAGATCCATTATGCTCTTAAAAACACATAAGGCTAATTCACTTATGGATCCCAAACCAAGAGTTTCAGTAGGAAGTTGTATAGAAAATCACGATAAATGATTGTTTACAAAGACAGTTCTCTTGATGAACAGTTGTTCAGCATAGTTCTGCAACCAAATATTTTCCTTGCTCTATTTCTACTCTTGCAAAGTAACACATGGATGTGCCACTTGAAATTTTGAAGCCCCCTCAAGATCTGATGCGATTCCTCCCACCCTTTTCCTAGGCCACACATGCCTTTTCAGGCACGGGTTGCAATAGACACTGAACCAGAACACTACATCTCCTTGGTGTGCTGGGCCCTTGCTTTCCTGAACCTAGCACTGCTCTCCTTATATACTTGGGAGTTAGCCACCTCCTGATAGCCTAGTACCTCTGTGTTTGGGTCATGATAACCTAGCATGTCTGTGTCTCAGTCGTGATAACCTAGTACAACTGTACCTCAGCCATGGTCAACAGGGAGGAGATATCAAACTTGGGAAGTCAGCAATTTCTGGGTCTGTGCAACTGGCAAAAAATACCAAAATGTTTCAACATCCAAGGTGAGCCAGACTGAAAAAATATCCGATGAAAGTCAATTATGTCAGACCCTATAACCAGTGATCCTCAAGTGAGTCCCTTTGAGCTCTCCTGGATCACAGCAGGCTGGGTTCTGCACCTCCCCTGAGTGAGACGTCTCCCCAGGATGTAGTCAGACTTTTCAAAACTCAATTATCATCCATTGAGAATGCTGAAACATTATGAGTATTTGCTCTAAACTTCAGAAGAAGGAAATTTATTTGGGAAAGTATCCAGTATACCTTTAATAGACTCCCACAGGGATATAAACACTCACCACAATTGCTCATGCCGCGACTGCTGAACTTTTGCGGACAGTTACGCTCCCTGAAGCAGGAAAACTATATCAGTTTATAGATGATATTTTAATTGGAGGAACTTTCCCTGAAAAGGTTGGAGAGACTGCAGCAAATGTCTGGTAAACATTGTGTGATGTGGAAATTGAAATTCCGCCTAAAAAATGTCAGGGACCAAGTAAAGAAATAAAATTTTGTGGAATTTGGTGGACTGCAGGAAGCACAGAGATTCCACCAGACACTCTAAATAAAACAACACACATGCACTCCAAAAAAATGAGAAGACTGACAACTCATTATTAAAATCAGAAAGACGCTATGTTGTATGGATTCCATACCATAAGAATAAGCGAAATCATTCTTACTTTACAATGAAGAAGAAAGGTGAAAAGAGAAAAACAAAACAAACCAACAAACAACAAAAAACCCCAACTTTTTAAAAAATGTTTAAATAGTATTGTATTCAATTGTATTTAAACTAGAAAGAATTAAAAACAGAAGCAGCTTCTGTTCTTTGAGTTACCATTTGAGGCCCTTGAATAAACAGATGACATTTCTGGCCAAAAGAAAATCAATAACATGCCACTTTTAGTATCTCCTGAATGTTAGGTAGTTAATAATTTAAAAAAGAGGGCTTGCTGCTACACTGACAAGGTTTTCTCTTCTGTCAGAGAAGCAGCCAGATTCAGTTGCCCGTTGGGTATTCCTTTGTATGCTCACTTTCAGTGAATTAAAATGGCTTCTCATCAAATAAGAGAAACGGCCCTCAAACTGCAGGGCAAGATTTTTTGATAGCCTTGATATGAACCACCTCAAAGATGAGAGCCTTTAAAAAAAGTCTTTTCAAAGGTGTTTTGGATTAATCTTATTTGACCATCTCTTGTAGACAAAAAGGGAATTTTAATAGCAACAAATGCGAGCAGAGGTGATTGTGCCTGCTCAAGGACTTAAGCACAATTTCTACTCAGGGGAAGCTCCTCAAGAGTGAGCAAAATAATTTCTGGGAATGTGTATCTTAAAAAGTTATGCGTTGCATGAGTAATTTTTTTTTACTGTAGTCAAACCTGAGCTCAGATCATGGTTTTTGCTTCCAGGATGTGCAGCACAGATGGTGGAGACTAATTGGGGTGGAGGGCAAAGCCTCAATGTGCTCTTGAAATCCTAAACCTCTCTGAAGGACCAGGGGGCAGCTGCTGCAGCACAAGTATCCTCAGGGCTGATGTGAGCCCTAACAGCCTCCACAGGTTTACCTGCTGGTCCTGGTGCAAAGCTGAACGTCTGTAACAGCTGTTTACAGCATTTCTCTCCAGACAAATTATTGCATCCCTCCATCTGACTCAGCCAACAGAAGTGTGCGTGTGCATGGAGGTGTTTCCTATAGCAAGCCTTGCAGCATCCCCAGCAAATGCAAAAGCAGCATTTGGGGTTCACATCAGCATTGCTCTTCCAGGGCTGTTTTATGTTGCCTGCCTTTTCTTGGGCTTGCCTTTTAGCAGTGTTGCTGCAAACAGACCTGTGGCAAACTGCTTCCTCTCACTTTTTCCAAGTGTCACAGCTTTGGAGGACAGGATAGGCCTCAGAGTGATACATATAATTGCCTTGCACCAGCCCTAGTGCTCAGAGGTGAAGAAATGTTCCCATCTGCTCTCCAGTAGCTTGCACTAAGCTCTGTCTCTACTAAAACTTGTACTGTAGTGGGCTGAGACTTGGTCTGGGAGATTTGGGTCTGTTGTCCTTCTCACTCTTT